AGAGAAATTGCAGCTCCTTAAAATACTTTCACAGAAACATTTCAAATGCTTTCTTTTTTTTAAATTGTGATGGTAAGTTCCAATCAACCAGTCTCAAATATTGTATTTTCCACCTCACACCCCCTTGTCATGGTGTGAGCTGAAGCTGAAATAGTTATGGAACAGTAAAATGCATTTACGCAAAACAGTGACAAAAAAGTGATGAATCACTGAAAAAATGTGACCAGGACAAAACTACTGCAATGTAAGGCAACCATAGCACAAGAAATGTACCTAGGCTGAACATGGGAAGAATCAGGAACTGGAAAAGTAGGGCAAGAACTGGTGGGTGGTGGGCAGAGAGTCCCCTACTGCATCCCTCACACCAGGGTCCCTGACACATATCACCGAATCTGACAGTCTAAGAGCCATACCTGTAATGCTAAATGACAGCATCCTGGAATGAACCCACCATTCTAAAAACTGAATAAAGCAACCATTCCTCGACCAGCCACACATCTGGCCTACAACCAACAAGCTCTTGAAATGTCTGTTTTCATACTTACTGCCCTACAGCCATTCCCAACTGATGGATAATGCTAGAAACACACCGTAGGTCAGCAAGTGTTCTAAAATTGTGGACCAGGATGTTTTCATTGTTTAAACATCATAGGCAACAGTGCAGCACCTAAGGAAAAGAGTCTACACCATCCTTATCTCTATATAGTATAGAGATAAATCTTAATGTGCTTTACATTGTTTTCTTAAATAACTTCATAAATAACTTCTTAAATAACTTCATAAATTTAAAGTTGGTAAAAAAATCCAAGCAGAACACAAATGACAATGAAACTTGAGCAGCACAAAAAATACTTGTGTCAGAGTTTGCCATGCAATCACCTTGTCCTAGAATCCCAGGGGAAAAAGTGAAGTGCAGACCAAAAATTTAATGTTTTTACTACCTAAGAAAATCTGTCTGCTCTCAACCAAGGCCAAAATCTATCTTTATGGGTCAGTAAAGCAGCTTAATGCAAGCCTACCATGAACTTTTGATAATAGATGCTGTTTCATACGACACTGTAAGGTTTTTTTTATTTTGTTTGCAAGAGACTGGCTCTTGAATATCAAAATGCATCTGCTTTTCTTTGGTGATTGCAATTCTTTGCCTTTATAATAATAACACATTGCAAAGACTGTTTAGTTCAATGTGTTAAAAAACCTTCGTCACAAGAAGTTAAAGAAGAAAGGAGGTTTCAGCTGACCGGTTTTGTGAAACAAAAAAACTCAAAAGAGTTGCATACAGGATTTGCACATACAAAAGCTCAGCTAGTTCTTCAGCAGCTTACTCAGCCCCAATGACAAGTAAAATTACATCTTTTGGAGTGCACAGGGAGAGACCATCTAGATCAGGTATAGCGCCTAGAGGAATATAAATGTCCACGCTTTACACATTATAATGGGAAAATAATGTTCAATACCTTTTACAAACAATTAAGCTTATAATAATAAACAAATGGTAGGTCTGCTGGTCCACACTTCTTCAAGAGATTAACTGTTAGATTCCACAAGCACATCATTTAAAATGTATTTGTACTTGCAGATCACATTCAGTACAAAAGGGATCTCTCTTGCAAAACAAGCTCAGTTGCCAAAATAAGCGATGGATGAAAAAATACCTGAGGAATAGTTTGCATCGAAGCTTTAGCTTGAGTCAGAAAGAAATCTTCTTACTACTTTCTGTACAAGTAACATAACTGTAAAAAGTTTTGAGACATATTATTATAGTGGGAGCGCTCTGTCAGAGGATTTAAAGTAGCCAAGATCCAGGCCATCTGCTGAGACTGACACAGTCTTCCCATGCTTCTAGGACAAGTGTCTTCTTTCACCCTTACTGCTGTGTCTGGTTGAAAAGACGACTGAAATCTGAACTTATTCTCTACCCCTGATCTCTCTCCAAAAAGTCTAAACTAAGATGGGATGTGACAATTCCACAGAACTACCTTGTTGCAAAGACAACCAAACAGGAATTGAAAAATTAGATTTTTCCTAGAAAACTTATTCCAGCCTTCCATACAGAACAAGTACAACAGTGCAAGAAACATGTCACCACTTATTTGCTGGGATAAACAGCAAAACACAGAGGAAAAAACATTGCCATGTCAGTAAAACACTTGAGCCAGATACAATTTGCCAATACAGGTACTCTCTCACTCTTCACAGCGGCAGCTACTCACTGCCTTTAGCTCTGATTTCATCTTTTCTTTCTCCCTCTTCATGAGGCACAGCTCACCCTTCTGACTGTCATGAACACTCCTAGTGAACTGAATTTGTGTCACTGTGAAAATCAGCTGAGTGGCACATCAATCTGATGTTAAAGCCACAAGAGAATGAAGGGCCTAAACTGCTGTGCTGCTGCTATTGCTAAGGTGAAAAAACTACAAGCAGGCAAGGAAGTGTCCAATGCACATAACAGCGTAGCAGTGACAAGAGAGAGATGTGGCTTTTAATGAAACAAACGGGGATTTTATTGCTGAAATTCAATCTAAAATAAGGCCTTACAAAAGCAAAATACCTTTGTGGGCTAGAGCATCAAGACTGCTACAAGGCTTCATGGAAAAAACATGATTTTTTTCTTTGTTTGTTTGTTGATGAAAATCTGACAGAATCAAAGACAATACTGCTGCTCCTCCTGGTCCTAAAGCACATCTAGGGTTTTTTTTTATTTCTAAGTGAATGCCTGAAAAAAACCAAAACAAAATAAAACAAAACAGAACTTGCTTCCTCACATCATTTTAACATAAATACACTTAGACATAAAAACTTCTGTAACCAGCCCCCTGAAAGTTCATTTTTAGGATTAAATGATTAGGGCATGAAAACATTTGTGTTACTCATAATCCCAGATAAAAATTTGTAGACTATTACTAGGGTTTCATCTCATTTTTATGACTCCTTTGCCCAAATAAATCAATCACATAAAGTTAAACTCAACACTGGGAGTTAAGCTCTCCACAGAGACTGGAGATTGCAAACGTAAGTCAAACAGGAAGAATGAAAGCTGAGATAATAGATGGTTTATACTCGTTTACTTCAAAGGTCGGAGAGATGGATGAAAATATTAAGATAATTTACAATGAACAATGATTCCAGAAGAAATAATAGAAGCCTCTCTCAATTGTAAGTAAAAAACCCACAACTTCTATAACTACTTCTCCAACTGCACCGAATTTGTATTATATCAAGAATCTTCTAAGGATATGCTGCAAAACAATCAGCCTTAAAACTAGCCTTTAAGTAGCAAGCCTATTGTTGTACTGGTAACTGGCAGTATCAGGAGATTTAGCTAAAGCCTTCCATGAAGGCAACTATCTTCTCAGCAAGGGCACATTCAGTTAGTCACACTGCACATTATTAATGAGATTCACAGATAATAGTGAATCCAAACCACTGCATTTTCGGAGATAATTAGAAGCAACTTCCTCAAGTTATTTTTCTTGTTCTAGATATGTAAAAATAATTTTCTTTTTCACCCAAATACTGTTTTAATACAAAATATAGTCCTACACACATATTCAAGTATTCAGAAAAAATACTGAAGAACAGACATGCATCCAAAGGTACGTTTTTTGGTTCAGAACTATGTTTCCTGTGTTAGAGGTTAGGAAAGTGCAATGCTACTACGTACAAACATTTTTCCATTCCTTCCCTCCCTCCCACAATTATAATCTCTTACTTAGATCATAATTAAGTGAGATAATGATTTTATTCTCTGCCTGTGCACACTGCAATTAACTAGTTTCATTAAGATTCACAAAACTTGGTCAAAGAAGACTCAGGACTGGAAGAAGAAGAAAATGCTGGGGGTCAGAAATTGAATTTAGGAATAAATGTCATGGGAAAGCTTAGGCAGTGCCTATGTGAAGGAGATTTGCTCAATAAATATACATCAGCAATACAGTATAATCCTGCTGACTCATCAGTATTTAATTAGCTTTTCCCAGTTTTAAAAAATTGTTCTTTTTTCTTTGTAAAAAAGACCCAAGCAACAGAGAAACATGAATGGCTACACAGAAACAACAACTATCTCTACAATGTTCTGGTCATTGCATAAATAAACTTGGGAAAAAATATGAGTTACAAAGTTATGATCAATTATAAAATGCAGATGTCATATTTCATAGCCTCTGAATAAGAAATATCTGAGTATCACAGTAAATGTCATTAGGGCACTAAGACCTCAGTTTTGAGGGTCTTCTAGTACAAGGTGTCCTACTCTCTGAAAACATCCACTACACAAACCATTAAATTGCTGGAAGCGTGGCATGTCAGCACAAGGTGAAAGAAACTGGAAAACAAGTGAGTTGATGCTTCCTGCCAAGCAGAAGCTGCAATTCAAATGTTTGTTGGGAATCATTGCTCCCACACACAATAAAACAGCAAAAATAATGCAGAATCACACATCTCACAAAACCCCACATACAGTGTGTTTTGAAGCCTGCAGTTACCTCCTCAGACTACAGCATAGCACTGTTGAAGACAGCATAGGAGAGCTTAAAGAATTATGGACTAGAACTTGTTAGAAGTTTATAACTTACACTGGCAGTGACTGGGAAAAGTATTTCAACTGTCATTTTTCCAAACAAAAATATCCCTACTCCAGAAAAAATACCAAGTTTTGAAAAAAAATTGCTGGTCCAAAACACCCAAAATTCCCATTCCCACCACCTTTTTTGCATGAGGAAAAAAAAAAAAGGTCTCTTAGGTTTACGACCAGATCCAGTGAAGATAAGAGACTTTCTTTACTGAAAGTTTTCAACTGGATGTGGCAATTCAGAAAGCTGAGCATAAGACAATCAGTGCATCATGCTCAGAGCAATCAGAGTAATAATCACTGAAATAATATGTTCAGAATGGTCGATAATTCTATTATTAAGCATAATAAATCTATGTATAAAAATCAGACCTGCAGGCATGTCACTAACATTAACTGCAAGTTTACTTAATTATTTCAGACATCCTACCTCACTGTTGGCTTCAGGAGGTTTTTTCTTTGTTTCTCCAATGCTCAAATAGCTGTGGAAGGAAAACAGTTTTGATTACTTACAGAAGCAATTAACTTACACAATGCAAATATTTCTGCTATTTTTCATACACAAAGTTTTTAAAATTTAAATTTTAAAATTTATCAAAGTAACTAATTTAAGATTTTAATGAAGGAGTGTTAATATAAACCTGCAGGCTAGCTCCGTGGGCCAATACAAAGTACAGGGGAGAACAAATCATCTACTTTCAAGTCACTGGTGGTTAGTACAGACCATCAATAGCCCCCTTGTCATAAAGAAGCTCACATACTATTGTGATGTGCATCAACAAATCTCAGCACAATATCAACTTACCAGAGTTTTCAAACTCAGCATCTTGCCTCTCAGTTTCTTGCATTAAGTCTCTGATACATTTAAAGCTTTCCTCCATGCCCAAGTTTGACCCATGGCATCTGCTAAAGTTTAAAAGGATCTACAGTTGTGCTTCAACAGGACACGGATATATCTAAACACTGTATATCCTGGTTTCTCGTGATGGTGATGAACCAATATAATCTGAACAATTATCTTGTGAATAAAGAAAATACAAGCCTCAACTGGACAAGAAAAAAAAAAAATCTCTATTTGAACAAAACTGCTCTCCTTCACAATAATATTTCCACAAAAACACTGCATTAACACAGACCTGTTAGTTAAAACACACAGTGATGGATTAGCTGTATGCTGCCTTTCCAATGAAAGGGAATTAAATAAGCCTTTAAGCATGAGTAACCCACAGACTGGCAAACAGGCAACTGTCCAGGTACCCAGACTATGCTAACTCCTTTCCCTTGTCAGCACTTTGAGAGCCAGGAAAGTGGTTCTTCTTATGAATGCAGCTCTCAGTATCTTCCAGTACTGCAAGATATTTCCAGTTCTCAGTGCTGCAGGAAAAGACACCTTCATGGGCAGTTACAACTTAGTACAGCAGCACCTTTCAGCACCTTCTACCAAGAACTGATCATGAGGTTAAAAAAAAACAACAAACCCACGACTGGGGCATCTATTCTATGCAGGGAGCATCTAACTCAACATTAGGTGATAGGCATTTGTTAGAGGTTCCCCCTATTCCTACTTTCAGTGAGAAAGCTTTGCCAGGCTTTTAAGGCTAGAAGATCCTATCTGGAAATGTCAGGTGCAAGCAACAGTGCAGGCTCACCAAAAAATCTTTCGTAATGCATCTGCAGCCCTCCAGTAATGTCATGTTCTATATTTGACGGCTGGGATAAGATTTGTTTGCTAGAGGAAACTTTCCTGCCTGGCTGAAGTTGACAATTCATGGGACCTGAACAAAGGTGTAGAAGCAAGAAAGAAGAAATTCTTTGAAAGAATGGCAATTGTCTATCAAGGAACCACAAAATGGACACAGGGATTTTAAGGCTTGAGTGTGCAAGGACAGTGAGACACAGCAAGGCTTCGAGGCAATGCTTGAAAGTGCATGCCAATGATGTGGCACAGCTGCAGGCTGGGCAGAGAAGAGATTCAGAGCAGCCCTGCAGAGAACGACTTGGGGGTGCTGGTTGGTGAGAAAATGAACATGAGCCAGCTGCAGTGTGCACTCGCAGCCTAGAAAGCCAACCGTATCCTGGGCTGCATCAAAAGGAGCGTGACCAGCAGGTTGAAGGTGGTGATCCTGCCCCTCTACTCTGCTCTCGTGAGACCCCGCTTGGAGTATTGTGTGCAGTTCTGGTGTCCTCAACATAAAAAGGACATGGAACTGTTGGAACAAGTCCAGAGGAGGGCCACGAGGATGATCAGGGGACTGGAGCACCTCCTGTATGAAGACAGGCTGAGGAAGTTGGGGCTGTTCAGCCTGGAGAAGAGAAGGCTGCGTGGAGACCTCATAGCAGCCTTCCAGTGTCTGAAGGGGGCCTATAAGGATGCTGGGGAAGGACTCTTCATTAGGGACTGTAGTGATAGGACAAGGGGTAACAGGTTCAAACTTAAACAGGGGAAGAATAAATTAGATATAAGGAGTTCACAGTTCTTTCCTGTGAGGGTGGTGAGGCACTGGAATGGGTTGTCCAAGGAAGTTGTGAATGTTCCATCCCTGGCAGTGCTCAAGGCCAGGTTGGACAGAGCCTTGGGTGAGATGGTTTAGTGTGAGGTGTCCCTGCCCACGGCAGGGGGGTTGGAACTAGATGATCTTGAGGTCCTTTCCAACCCTAACTATTCTATGGTTCTGTGATATGGACAAGGTAAATGTAGCAACACAAGACAGTATTTAAAAACAAAGTGTGCAAACCTCATGTTTAAAAAACAAAAACAAAAACAAGTATTGCAAGTTTCTCCAAAGGAACAAACCCCCCCCCAAACCAACAAAAACAAACAAACAAAAAACCCCACCACAAACAAACAAACAAAAAGTCTTAAAGCCTACAAGACTAAAAAGAAATAAGCTGCTGACCCTGGTTCTTGTTCTCTGGCACCACTGAATTATTTCGAGGAGAACTAAGAAAAGTGACAAAGAAGAGCAAATATATAGTCAAAGGCTTAAATTCGCTATGCAGAGGTCTGGGCACTCAGCTGTCAAATTTCAGAGGTCCACAAATGAGAAAAGTTTTAGACAGTGCCAAAGGCTTTCTGTGGGATAACAGCATTCAAAAAAATTCCAGATCAAAAACTTAACCACAGTATATCCACTTGCTAAGAAAGCAGAGATACTTCCACTCAATGACTACCCAAGTTAGTGATAAAACAGCAAAATGTTTTAATGCCAATCACTTTATTTAAGTATTAAACATAGCAGCAGCTTATATGGACTACATACCTTCAAAGGTATATTTCATCTAAATATATATGTATCATCTAAAGATGTTACAATTCAGTGCTTGGAATGAGAGTGTTAAAGGAGAGCAAAGTTTAGTCTAGAAATCACTGCAGACAGGGAAGAAAAAGATTAATTTCTCAGTATAAGACACCTGAGAAGAAACAAATGCACTGCTTGAAGTGGAGCAATGACACTTTCAGCTTCTGCTTCTCCTTGTATATTCTCTCCTTTCCATTACATTCCCTAACATAAGTGGCACAAGCCACCATGCCAAAGTTCAGTCTATCACAGCAATGAATGTGCTCAATAAGCAACACTCGGGGAAAAAAAATAATGTACAAACTTCTTGTTGCTGTCAGACCAGAGGCAGATCCTTTAGGGCAGATGCTTTGGTCTCTTGCAGCTTCAACAGCTTTTATCTTTGCCTGTGACACATAACAGAGACATACGCTCTTTAATTCCTTCAATATCTTTCAGAAAACTGTCCCCTTCAATTAACCCATCCTCTCCTCTGACGTTTATGGATGACTCCCTAATTACCATTCTGTCTACAATGCAGTTAAGAACAAGATCAACATTAAGCCCTTCATCCTGTCATAAATAATGCTGGTAATAGCACTGCCAACATTTACAGCACTATATAAATAAATAAATACTAATAGTGAAGAACTCGACTTTGAACACAAGGATGGGAAAGATCTCAAGTCATCCCATTTATCCTCTCTACAGTACAGGTCTATGGCATACTATCAAGGGATATACAAACCAACCTTCTCTTAAAAAGTCCTTTAGGCTAGCTTTTGTTAAGGTTTTCTCTTTGGTGACCTCAAATTCTTAGCTGTATTGTTTGATGTTGGAGCCATAGAAGTCCAAAAAGCTCTCACCATAAAACTCTGACCATAAAACATAACAAGACAAAAAGGAATGCTTTTTCCCACCCAAAATAAATCCAGAGTGCTCAGTTCTCTACACAGTACATGCTAATGCCAAACACTTACTTACATTTACCCTGTCTGTTGTACATAAAATACATTTAGGGAGGTGAAACATGATGTGCTGACAGCTAACAACTTTAAGCTATCCACAGAATCACAGCATTTAATACCAAAAAGATATGGTAGATCTTTCTTGAGAAATGAACACTGCATTTGACATGGAAGACAGTACAGAGGGAAAGGGACTTATATTTAGCCTGTCACATCTTTCCCTCTTGCTTTGCCACTGAAGCACAAGAAGCTTCAATAAATGTTCAGAAGCAGCCAGTGACAAAAATAGTAAGAGTGCTGACAGAAATCCTGCTCATTACACAGTTTTCTCCTGAAACATCATGAGCTCTCCTGGGAGAAGTAGTGTCTTGAACTCTGCAAAACCAAGATGAGCAAGGTCCCATAAAGCTGCTAGTTTAGCATATAAATTCCTAACCACCTTCAGAAAGGGACTGTTAATTTTGAGACTGTTGTTTTGTTTTGTTTTGTTTTTAATTCAACTGTAAGAAAAATGCCCACAAAGAAATTCACTGCCAGAATTAAGAACCATTACTGATCACATGCAGAGCCACTCAGGAATCACACCTAAAAGCCCAAATCTCTTCCATGATACCATCCCAGTCACTCATTAGAAAACAGAGAAACTGTCATCTCAATTCTTGGTATCAAGGGAGGGAACAGAAAGCAAATAGTCATCTTTTAAATAACAGGAGGGACTCAGATATTGCGGTCATAAAAAGTCTAGATACCTACCCAAAACGAACAGAAGTAATGGAGAGGTGGATAGCTAGGCAGAATAGTTTAGACTTTATAAAATTAGCAAGAAAGTGTTGGGAATTAAATTCCCAGGCTCATCAGCTTCACAGCAGGACTGTCAAGACTCCACCTTTCTGCAGCTTTCTCCCTCTTACCACTCACCCCTCAGTTAAAAACACGTATCACAACATCATGCCATTGCTGCATGTCCTTCAAGTTAAAAGGCTGTTTCTCCTTTTCTACCGTCATGTCAAGGAAATGGCACTATGTGACTGATGGTCACAGCAGCCTTTCTGTGTCTTGCAGCTCTTGTGCAGTTTTATCTGTTACAAGCACCTTTCCTTTTGCCTTGGGTTGCAGTCATTTAAGTCCTCTTTCTGCAATGCCTAATAAAGGGGGTGGGAGCCTTCTGAAGTAACACCACAGCGCCAAACCCCGAACCCTGATATTCAAGTTCCATACATATCTGATATTACTTTTTAGCCACTCACTTGAGTTTTTTGAAGGCTTCCCTGCCACCAGCCACATACTGCTCTCCACTTCGAAGCTCCTCCAGCTGCCGGACACGATGCCCACCCCGGGGGGTATAGATGTTACGCACAGCTCCGAAGGGTGCCTTCACCCCAGCTGTCACCTCTTTCAGGAATACCTCAAAGTTGGACACTTTCTTCTCACTGATGACAATGCGGTGCCCCGGGAAGAAAGGGTCCCCGTTCCGATATACCAGCAAGCTCTTCACCGTCGGCTGCGAGAGCCACGACCCCTTTGTGCCAGTACTAGTCATGCTCGGTGGCTTCGGACCTCCCGGTGCCTGCACCACCAGTTTACTCAGGAGAAGGCTCCTGCTCGAGCAACCCTCTCACCTCTGCCCTGACAGCGGGGTGAAGCGCACACACCCAGGCGAGGCCTGGGCACCAGGGCCCACCTCCAAGGAGGCAGAGGAGGGAGCCCGGGGCCGCGGGGAGGGACCACAGCCTCCCCAGGGCTTGCGGCACAGCTCAGGTCAGCGTCTTGAGAGCGGCTCTTCCTTGGCAACCAGCTCCTGCTGCTGCTGCTCCCTGGCACCTGGGGAGGTTAACGCCGATTACACTAACCCAGGCAAAAAACACAAACAAAACCAAAACAACAACATTGCATGGAGGTAGATCCTACACAGATGGAAAATGGACTGCAGGGGACCTACGGCCTCCCAGGGTATTTATCCTCCAGCCTTGCCATTACGGGAAGCGACTTGCCGCTGCCACCCTGGTTTCCTCGGGGAACTTTATCCCGGGTTTGTTCGTCCTCCCCCTTGCCCAGCCAGGCGACAGCCTACTAGGAGCCTGACGGACCCAGAGCCACCGCACAAAGCACTGCTCAGTTATTCACCGGACAGGGGCTGGGGGAAGGAGAACGAGGAGGCGTCGTGTCTAGAGGCACGGCGAAGGACGCGGGGGCAATACGGGCAGAATGTAAACGGACCAAGGGCCCCGCACCTGAGCGAGCGAGAGAGCGAGGGGGGATAGTCCCCGCTCTGCCTCCTCCTCCCCAGCAGCTCAGGCGCTGCAGTGCGCTGGGGCTCCCCGCCACAGAGGAAGGTACCGGCCACTGAACTGCCCTCGGCGGGGAGCGGCGGCGGAGGTGAAACCTTGAGCCGGTTTAGCGCTCCCACAGCCAGCCCGGGCAGGGAGAATGCGGTGGCCAGGTCCGACCAGGCGCGGCGGAGCTGCCGTGAGATGGCGGATCCACACAGGCGAGCGGCCGGTAAGCGCCGTTAACCGCCGGTAACAGACCCCCGCGCCGCCTCAGAGGGACCGCCGTTCGCATGGTGGTGAGTACAGGATTAACCACCCGCAAGTCTCTCCCTGACGGGCCCTGGCCCCGCCGTGATGGGCCGGAAGGTAGGCGGTGGCAGGCAGCGGCCGCGCCCGGTAGAGGAGAAGGAGGGAGTGAAAACCACGTTATTTCATTCACGTCTAGCCAGCTCTTCTTGGGGTTTCTTACTGAACGTGTCAATTATTTCCTTCTCAAGAATAAACCAGACTTTTACTAGACCTTTTAGATCAAGGTAACGAAAACGCTAGGCAGGTGCCCTGGCGTGGAGGTAAGGGCAAGGTTCAGCCGCCAGCAAAAAGGCAGTTTCTACAACACGAGTGACTGCTTCAAGCGCTCTGGCCTGGCTGCTTCTGCATATTCCCTTGCTGAATCTGACACATGCTTTCTCCAGTGAAGATTTAGTTACTTGATGCCTGGTAATTGCCTTTGGTTCATGATTAACATCTAACGATTCCCAGTTGTGTGTACAGGAAGGTCCATGCACAAAACAAACGAACCACTGAAAAGTCATACTTGCTGTTACTCTTTCTTTACTTCTTGTCAGTTACTAAAAATTCCTGAAAATTGGATCTTTGCTGCAGGTCTACCATCTGAATGGGCAAAATTTGCTAGTAACACAGAACTAAGCTGCACCCCCCCTGTGTCTGGGTAATTTTATTTTGCTATTTGCATTGGAATATTTGAAGGCTTTTCGGTACTCCTGGTATTCTTTGGTTGAGTAAGTCTGCTATAATTTGTTCTCTTAAGCATCCAGGATCAGTCACAAGAAGTAATATCACTCCTGCTGAGCTGGCCCAAACCTGCAGTTCTGTCTGGAAAATTTCAGTTAATGAGACTCAGCGATGATTTGCCCTACTAAACCAAGATCAATTTGAAATACAGCATGAACAGTAGCCTGATAAATCAGAAGAATATCCTCGGGCACAATTTATTTTAAACAAAAATACATCAACAAAATGAAACAGAAAAACAATAGACAAATGCGGTTTAACAAAACATAAACGTGGACAACAAAACGTAAAGTAACACACCTGATTCAAAGAACATGATGTAAAGTCAAATGAGATTATGTTGCAGTCTTTCTTAAGTCGATTTCTATAATTCTGCATAGTAGGTATGATATAGCATGTATAAAAAATATATTTTTATACCTATTAAGAACCAGATCCAATGGCTGCCATCATCAAAAGACTTCCTTATGTTTCATAGATAACTATATTGGATCATGAAATCATACTGATACCATTTTAATCTTAAACTATTAAAAAAACTTTGTAAACAAATGATCCACTTGAAGCTGCATTTTCTTGCTAATTGTCAGCCAAACATCTCCAGATTGTCCAGTGGTTGAGAAGTAATTTTGGATATTGCATTATCAGAATAGTAGACCTGTTTAATCTCAGATTAATAAAATTTGTAAAAAATCAATCAAGAGTGGGTCTTACAGGCTTACTCAATGTACAGACAAGTCTCTGGTGTGTCCAGACCACCAAAATTCTGACTACAGAAAAGTTTTTTTACTTGACAACACTTTAGGCATACTTGGGACATGCCTTTTGGCCATACTTTTTAATGCTATCTGCTTTGCTCTTTCCAGGAAGCTGCATAATAAAATACAGAGGCTTTGATTCCACTGGATTTTTGCCACAGCTTGGGTACAAGAAGCAGTGAAACCTGAGAGAAAATAAACAGAAAATGTCTTAAATTTGAACTGAAGTCCTTTAACAACCCCGTTTCCCCACTGGTTGTTGCAAGACTAGAACTGGTCTACATCTTCCTACCTGGAACTGCTTAGTGTACAGTAACAATTGCTCTTCCAAATGGATTTTAACACATGTGATGGAAAGAATTTTTCTTCCCTTTTATCTTGGTTCCTTTGATGGGAAAATTACCCCCCTGCTGTGAGTTACAACAGGGCAGTTAAGCATTACAGAAAGCAATTTCAGGGTGAGGGAAGTCAAATATGCTGTTACTGGTTAACAGTTCAATTTCTCTACTTGCTGCTGGTTTGCTTCTGTCTAGTAAAGGGGAGAACCAAACATTTACCATCCGCAAATTAATACTGCTTAACACTGATCTGTTGCAACCTGAAATGAAAAAAATACATTAAAAATATGCCTAAGTTTAAACACCAAAAATGCTGATGACCTTCACATCATTCTGCAGTCAAGTAGTGATATGCCAACTATTTGTCTACTATTTTGTGCCAGATTTTCCTACTTAAGGTGATCTTAGGCCTAATTTGCGATTACACATTGTCTTTGGCATAGGTATAAACCACTGAGTATTTTACTTGTGCACCTGTTTTGACATTTGCACTACTCCAGAATACTGTTGGTCTTTACCTATAGCCGTACTGCTTACAATCACTTTTGTGGATTGCAATAAAACATCCCCTGAATGATACCAGAGACTTAAAGCAGCCTGGAACTGGTAAGCAAAATCTTTGGCCAAAACTGGGAGCACATTACAAATCCTTTGCATAATTGCAATAGAGTATCTTGCCCATAGTTTAAGCTTTCCATAGCTGATAGCAATGCCTCATAAAGACTTCATCTCTCAAATTCAGCTGCTTGCGTTTCTGCCATCTGTCCCCTTACTTGTGCTACAGTGGAATCTGTTTTCCTATTCTTAAGGCACGACCTTGAAATTCAGCTCCTGAAAAGCAACCATGACTGTCTAGTGCACAACAGGCCCATTACCTCACACAAGTCTTTTCAGGATGAAACATTTTCTTCAGTGATAGGAACAAAAAACAAACTTAGAGTATTTCCAGTGTTAGTATGTTTTCTGTCTTGCCTTAGTGCAACCATTGCCCAAAAGCTAAGAAAATCTCAAGCACTTCAGCTGATGATAGCAGCCTTCATTTATGAGAATCTGCTCTTTCTAGCCTTTGCAGGGCTGGAGCGCTTATTCCCACTATTGTTTCAGTTCCTAAGCAATCTCCTGTCACATTCTCCACAGTAACAAGAAAAGCTGCTGAACCCACTGACACAATTAATATAAATCCAGAGACACATAATCTCTTTGTGATGGAGCAGTGTCAGACCTCTCATCTTACTTGGAGTCAGGTCAAGTGTCGGGATCACATGATGGACCTGAAGTCAATGAGCACACACTGGGGGATGTCATGAGAACAGAGCCATGGCATAGTGACATAGCATCAAATAGGGTCACTTTTTCAGCACCAAAATGCTGTGAGGCATCTCAGGATCAGGAGCGATCTTGCAGCTTGTTGCAGGTCCCTGGCAACAAGGCTCAGTGACAGCAAAACATGAGGTCATGAAGACAGGAACATGTCCTAGTGCTGAAGACTGACAGAATGCAAAATGATAAAGTTTCTAAATACAGAGAACAAAATTCAGCTTGTTCGATTGTACACAGTGCTGAGACTCACACTTAATAACTACACCTTTGTGCAGCTTATCTAAAAATCAGACTAAGCAATAGCAGCCACTTTATTCCCAGTTGTAATTCTGGGGTGATCGGACAGTCTGAACTGACAGTTTAATGTATATATATACTGGGTAGTTCAGCTTTCAGACACATGCCCTAACTGGAAGAAACAAAATACTGATGCAGTTGGGCAGTTGTAAATTTTAAAACCCATGTCATAGCAATTTCACATTCTTCTACAACTGCAAGATCAAAACCTCCTTAGAATACCAGGATCAATTATTTTTTTCTTAAATAAAGCATTAACCTTAGTTGAAGCTACAGCTTTTGATGACATGTCTTAGAGTTCTAACCATTCTTGAGAGAGCTGAGATAATAAAGGGTTACCTAGGAAAAAGGCTATTGCATACCCTTAAAGGCATATGAGGAAATAGTTCTCCATGAAGAAGCACATTCCAGGGGGTTAGCCTGAGGTAAAAAGTTAAAAACTATCTCTCATGTGGTCTTTGTATAGAAAGTGAAGGTATGCTCTCTAGGCAAAGATTTCTCAGTGTGTCATGGGAGCCACCTTTGATAAAGGCACCTGACACTATCAGTGGAGTATTCCTGATTCATTCATGCAATAGAAATTATTCTAAATATGAATGTTATACTTTTTAAGTTTTCCATGGGGCCTTTTCTCTCTTCTTATTGAGCTGCACTGATCATCCACTGAACACTTATCTACTGTCTGGAAGCAAGCTTACATTTTTCTGGTTAATCTGGTTTTTGTTTGTGTTTTGTTGTTTGTGGGGTTTTTTTCTTTATATAATGGCACTTCTGTGATCATGTATTTTAGGAGAAGAAACAGGTAATAGGTTCAGGCATGTTATTGTATATGAACAGGACTAATTAAATGTACAAACCATACACTAGGGAGGCAATTTCTCTGTAGACAGACATCCATATGCCTTTCTACCATAGTTCTCCCCGAAGTTCTCTAAGGTCTTCAGCAGAGATTTAGAAGGAGTCCTCTGATGACACCTGTGATTTCCTTCTCTTTCTGTAGTTTTCTTTGGTGTTTCTGCTCTTCCACATACCCCAGCTGCAATCAGACCAGTCCCTCGTGTCTGCACTGGCATTCAGACAGCAGTGGAACTAATTGCTCATGTCATTCAGGCTCACAGATAGTTGTGTTTTGGATAGCAGTTTCAGGGCTAAGCAAGCCTGTGCGTGAGCTAGCTTCTCTTCTCAGCAGAACAGAGGACAGCTATCATGCCTGTTTGTGGTAATGAGCTTCTTCAACAAACAGCAGATGAGCTTGACTAATTTTTTATTAGATACAGCAAACTGCTCCCAACAGTTGGCACTGCGGGACAGACCAGGTACCTGGCACTTGTGTACAGCAGAAGCAACAAGCAGATCATTGGTATTTAGAGCTGCAATAAATAGATGGCAGTTTGAGATCTCCAGGTATCTTTTCTGAGCAGCAGTATAAAATCAGACATTCTATCTGTGCTTCAGAACTTAGCCCTGTTTGCCAATTCACACCAGTCTGTTGCCTTCACCTCTGAAGACAGAGGTGATACCTGGTCCCTGCCCTTCCAGGCAATTATGATGATGACTGATAATGCAGCTATAATGAGATACAATACCAGTACTCACTAGCATACTGGCCTATTGCATCATACATATCAAAGTTCAAATCAATATATATTTGGTGTGAAGTTATGTCATCTTATTTCTAACAGGCCTGTTGTGTAAGCAGCCAGAATAACAGACGGACAAAGGAAAACAAATAGATCAACCCAGTATCTTTTCCCTTTTTTACTGAAGAGAGTGAAATGTCAGCTGTGTGAAACTTACTGCAAGTTCATTAAATGTAAATTTCTGGCAGATACTCTTCAAATGCTTCCCAAGCTTTTGCATTCCAACTATGCAGAGCCAACATAAGCTGCTGTTAGAAGCCAGCAACAGCGTGTGTTTATTTCCTCTCTCCTGTTGTTTGCTCTGCGCTGTCTGGTATTCCCAAATTTTAAGTATCTCTTGACATCCAAGAGTATTAGAACAGTCTTGTGCATACTGCCACCTGCTGTGATTAAACAAAACTTGAGCTAAAATATGTAAGCTTTTGATTAGAGCTTTTTATTAATTATAAAGTGGGACGTTTGCACTCAGGCATGCTTACCCAGAAACTGAAAACTTTCGATGCCCTCAGTTTACTCATATATGCTTAAGACCTTAAAGCTCATGCAGTTCCAACCCCTCTGCCACAGGCAGGAACACCTTCCACTAGACCAGGTTGCTCCAACCCCCGTCCAGCCTGGCCTTGAACACTGCCAGGGATGGGGCAACCACAGCTTCTAGGGGCAACCTGTGCCAGGGCCTCACCACCCTCACAATGAAAGTTTCCGCCACCACATGGTTTACGCGCATTACGAACGCTTCCGGAGGTCGGAGCAGGCCACAGACGCCGCGGTGACAGCAGCCAGCGGGCGCAGGCTGGGCGCCCGCAAAGTACGACTGCGGCCACCGCTCCGTTACCAGCTCCATCCGGGTGCGACGTACAGCTCAGTTAGCAGTGGCAGCCGTACCCCGCACCGCGTGGCCCCTCCCGGCCCCCAGCCGACGAGCTGCCACAGGCCACACTCCTGCCAGGCTGCGCAGGGTAACTCTTCAGCCTGGGCTCCTCCCTCGCCGCGGCTGCGCGCTGGGAGCCGTATCGTACCGTACCGGGCCGGGCCGCGCTGTGCTGTCCCGCTTCGTGCGGGCGCTACGCGCCTATGCTGCGCACCGGGCTGATTCCCCGCGCCCTGCGCCGCCCTCGCGGGGCCGTGCGGAGCCGCCGCTGCTGCTGCACGGCCCGCAGCTGGGCGGGCGCGGAGGGCGGCGGGTCCCGCTTGGGGGCCGCCCTGGGGCTGCTGCCAGGCTCCGGCCGGCCAGCGGCCGTGGCTGTGCCGCTGTGCGCCCGGGGGCTGCGCTGGTCCGGTAAGCGGCGGGGCTGGGGTGGGTTGGGGCAGGCACCGCTGGGCCTTGGTCCCCCGTGCGCCCCGGTAGGACTCACTGTGTGGTGTCGCAGGCGGGGAGGGAGGGAGGGAGAGAGAGTGACACCCCGGCCGGGGACCGGGAAACCAAACCGGCAGTAGCTGCACTCTCGGTGCCGTGTCGGCTTCCTGCCGGAAGGGTGTCAGGTTCGTGAGGGCCTTCTGACTACCGGTGCTGCTTAGTTTCTGTGCCAGTGGTTATGCGCATGGCTTGTAGCAGGGCACCGCATCGTTAAAGGCAAAATGCAGTGTGCTGGAAAACATAAATAGAAATGTCTTGTCTTTCTTCAGGTAAACTTTATCAACATGTCCCAACAGAGCCCTCCCAAGCCACCTTAGCTAGCGTGGCTCCTGTTTTTGCAGTGGTAAGTATGTGCAGGAGTTTCCACCAGCAAGGGCAGCTTGTGCAGGATGATGGTACTCTTTCTTTAAAGCATCATAGGAGCAGATAGATTTCATCTTTCAGAGGACATCCCTAGTTCTAAATTGTTGATTTAAGGTATTCTGACTTGACCTCATAGCAGCCTTCCAATATCTGAAGGGGACCTACAAGGATGCTGGAGAGGGACTCTTCATCAGGGACTGTGTCAATAGGACAGGGAGTAATGGGTTTATACTTAAACAGGGGAAGTTCAGGTTAGCTATAAATGAAGAAGTTCTTTACTGTAAGGATGGTGAGGCACTGGCACAGGCTGCCCAAAGAAGTGGTAAGTGCTCCATCCCTGGCAGCGTTCAAGGCCAGGACAGAGCCTAGATTGCTGTAAAGGAAATAGCAAAATCTGTGATCAAGAATGTAAGATGCCCCACTGATCTCCCTGGTGTCCAGTGATAGGACATGTGTGAATGGTTCAAAGCTATGCCAGGGTATGTTTAGACTGGACATGAGAAAGCATTTTTTTTACCAAGAGGGTGTTCAAACACTGGAACAGGCTTCCTAGAGGGGTGGTCAATGCTCCAAGCCTGTCCATGTTGAAGGGACATTTAGACAATGCTCTTAATAACAGGCTTTAATTTTTGTTCAGCCCTGAAGTGGTCAGGCAGTTGGATTCTGTAATTATTGCAGGTTCCTTCTCACTGAAATAGTTTATTCTAAGTCTGATCCTCTGTAAATTACTTTTTCCCCAAGGTTTACATAGGAACGTGGTCATAGAGATGACACTAGTATTTGGTGTGTGGCAGTCTGGTGCAACTTTTTCTCAATTGGGGTGAACTGTGAAGAGAGTGAAGGTTGGGTTTTCTTCATAATGTATATTCCATTTGACTTCAGGCAAGTGCAAACAGTTTTAGAAATTGATTTCTTGACATACAGTAGTTCTGTGAAAAAGATATATTTTTTTTCCACTCCTTTAGATGAAGCTTGACAAAGAGGGAAATGCTACCTATTTTGGTGAGTTTTCATTGCAGTTTTGCTTAGTTTTTGTCTTTTTTCCTTTTCCAATACAGAAAAGTCCAATTGGCAATTTGCATGAGATAGAAAATTGTATTTGGGATACTTCTCTGTGTGGGATGTTGCAATATGTTCTTTGTTTTGCTGCCTTCTATTGGTCTTCATAGCATCTTTATTGTTACAATTTTTACATATTTTTAAGTAATATTTTGAAAAATATATCTCTATCAGGTGGTCATTTTTACTTTGTCTTTTCCCTTTTTAACAAACACGCAGCTTTCCTCACCTTGTATTTCCTTCGAGACTTCCCAAATGAGTCTCTTGGTTTTTGGCATGATATTAATTTTCATGGCCAACTTTTTCACTTACATCTGAATTTTTTCTCTTCCCACTTAAGATGCAGTCTTATAAACTTCGTATATTGAGGAATCTATGGGAGGAAAACTGTTTTAAAGATAACAGCTTTTTCTTCCCTTCTGTGGGTCTTAGTAACACAATAAAATGTCATTTCAGGGCATACATGCTTGTCCCCTAAATGTCTTCATTTTAAAATATTTTTCTGATAGAAAAGAAGAAAACAGAATTGTACCAGGAATTGGGTCTTCAAGCTCGAGATCTAAGATTCCAACACCTAATGAGCATAGCAGCTAGGAACAACAGGATCATCTTGAGAATGGAGGTAATATTTTCCCTGTAGTTGAGTGTAAACTTGAACCATGTCTTATCCTTGCACTTGCATTTTCTTGCACAGTTCTTTTAATACCAGTTTTCTATGAGGTGCAGTCTAGCAGTAAATGTGTCTTTGGAGCTCTGCCTAGCAATCAGAGGTATGTGTTCACCAATATATTAATGACAGGAGAAACATTACTAATGTTGTCATAGAAGTAAAGGCTTACATGGAGCCTCTGCTCAGTCATACCACCACTGGCACAGTGCTGTGTCTGAACCATAGGGAATGTATTAGTTTGCAGTTAGCATGAGATTCTGTTATTTCCTGCCTGGAAAGACATTCGAAGAATGGCTTTATTAGAGCCTAAATTATCAAATGCGCTACACAGTTACAAACTATCTTGAAAGAGGTGGTTTTTCAGACTCTTCTATGTACTGTCTTTTTCAGTTCTTGAAGGCTGTCATAACACCAGAGTTTCTTCTGATACTAGATTATCGTAATTTAAACCTGGAACACTGGCTCTTCAAGGAACTAGCATCTCAGCTGGCTGGGGAAGGTCAGCTGGTTACATATTCCCTGCCCTTTGAATTCCGAGCCATAGAAGCAATCCTGCAATACCGGGTGAGCTGTCTCATTTTTATTTAAACAGTTTTGGAAGTTGTTGCTTCATAGAAAGGACAGTATTGATTTTATTTTTGTGTTACTATTTATACATACGCATTTGTGTATGTATTCTGCACTTAACGGTGGGAGCTCTTTTTGGTTTGTTTTTTGTTACTTTAGTTTTTATGGGTTTGTGTGTGTATGTGTTACCATTCCCTTCCCAAGAAAGTGCTAATTGGATGTGATGGCTTCACCATCATTTGGACAGTTAAAAACAAGACAGAGTACCTTTCTAGAGACATGCTGTAGCTGAAATGGAAGTCACGCTGAGGTTTTTGGCCTCTTGGGCAGGAGTCAGGTAACAATTTCTAGCTATCCTTAAAAATCTGTGCTTGCTAATGCTAATATGACATTTCTAGGCAAATAGCGCTTTAGCTTTATCAGCCTTAACCGCTGTGGTTGTCACTGGGTTTCAGTTCAGTGCAAATCTCTATTATAAAATACTGTAGTTTGCACTGGCTTTATCTTTTAAGTGGTATCTCTATAGCAAGTATTTCCTGGGCATTGGAGAGCAGATTGTGTTAACTGCCTGTTACTGTGAATTCTGTGTTCAGAGACAGGAGTCAGTAGCCCAAGTCATTCTAAACGGATTGCTTTAATTCTTATGAAGGATCATGTTGTTACCTAGATCAGCAGACTACAGGGGAGACTTAACACTTTGCAGCCTCAGATCCTTGAGACACTGGAAGCTCTAGTGGACCCCAAGCTTTTGTCTGTGGATAGGAGTAAACTACACATTCTCCTGCAAAATGGCAAGAGGTAAATAAGAGTAAGCCATGAAGAGCTGAGAAGATGACCATAGAAAATTATGTGCAGTGAAATGTTAGAAAAATGGTATCGAATATTAATTTCCTAGATAACTGCAGTGCTGGCTTGTGCATCTTATTTCTAAATGTAAAAATTGGTATGGAAGATGAGTGATTTGGGGCAGAATAGAAAAAGGGAAGCCTATTCCAAGTTGTCATAAATACAGTTGAGCTTCTTAAATAGCAACTGACAGAACAAAATAATACCTAAGAGAACAAAATAACATCATGAAAATGTTTCCTGTAATGTAAAACAAGATTAGCCTTTAGATCTATGCTTTAAGGTTACTAGTTCTCATATACTGGTACCTTTCTGTATTAGCCCCTCTGGTATATGCTTGCTACATGCTCATAGAGTGCTTGTTTCCTCTAGTTTAGGAATATATCCTGAAAACACATCTGAATCTCTTTCAGTGTGTGTCTGTAGCTCACTGGTCCCCAGACAGATCACTGCCACTTCTAAAGTGTATGGCCTGTAAGGGATATTTCGAAGTTCTTAGAACCCTGCAAGGAATTCTTCCCTGGATGGTCTTGTCAGGCGAGGGTGCTGGCTGGCAAACTCAGTTAGAGATTACCTTTGTGCACTGGTGCCAGTGAGGATTACTTGACCTTTTTTGCCTGTTCTTTCTTCAGCTTGTCAGAACTGGAAACAGATCTTAAAGTTTTCAAAGAAACAATTCTGGAGATCTTAGATGAAGAAGAATTAATAGAAGAGCTCTGTCTATCTAAATGGACTGATCCACAAGTATTGTATGTATATTTTGAAGCCACATACTTTTTTAACAGTGTGATTTGTTTTAGAAGAACTTGAACACTAAACTGTGTGTTCCCTGCCAAAAAGCAGAAAGCAAAAGACTTATAAAGCCGTAATGCTTGCTGCTTCAGAAATCACTGTATTTTCCTTTCAGAGAGGGACTGCATTAGCACTAGTTATATTATGCACTTTCAAATAGTTCTTGGCATAACAGGTCAGCTCATCCAGTATGTAATGGGATGGGAGCAGGATGGCAGAAGGAGAAAAGGCAAATGTTAACACTCTCTGGAAGAATTTTGCTCATTTTAAAGCTTGTCTTAAATATATCAGACACTGTGCTTCCTTTGTTAGAAGTGTTCTGAACACCTTTCTTCTAGCTTTTGCTTACCAGCAGAACCTGAAGGAAAGAGGCCCTGAAGCAATCTTGTGCTTCTGAAGAGCAACATTTAAGGAAAGGTGTACATGCAGAAATAGTCCTATTGCACTCCCTCAAATTCTGGTGAAGGACAGCAGCAGCAGTGCCGGTAGCTTTAACAAAAACTAAAAAGCAAAAAGAGAATGTGTACCAGACCCCAGTATGTTTTGGGCTGAACTGTATTTAAATCTTGGGCATACAGACGTGCTTTATGTTTAAGCGGATAACAGAAACTGCTTTTCAGTATCCTTTGTGAAGCTGCTGAATGCAACTTTTGTGTAACCACACTGCATGTGGATATTAGTAGTATTCACACAGTAGCATGTGTTTGAAATCATGAGGTAGTTTCTTGTCCTGCAGAGCTTAGTCTAAATGTGCAGCAGAAACCTGGTATTCCAAAAGTGGGACACGTTTAGCATTTCTAGTGTATCTGCTGGAGCAGTGTCAGGAGGGCTCTGAATTCAGGGCTGCCCCTGAGTCAGCAGCTGGTCTTCATCCTGGTTTTGCTCACAGCCTTCCTCTGGACTTAATGCAAGCTGCTGGCAGCTCTCTTCTTGCCTCATGGTAGATAATGTATAGGGAACATCTAGGAAAGTTACCAAAGTAACCTTACACACTCATGTCAGGAGAAGCCTGAAGTCATCCTTTCTTTCAGACACCATGGGAAGGAGAGGTGGTACTGGGAGGCTGTGGTGTGCTACAGGGTGCAGAGGTGGTCTGTGTACAAGGTACACCAGGAAATACTAGCCGTGGCAGCACATCTGCAGGCAGGAAGTGTGTGGAGAGCTCTCTTTGCTCCACAATTGATGCAGATGGTAAGTGGTGTTTGCTGAACTCAAGAAGTCTGAGAAGGTGTGGAGTAACCCATTGAGGCATATAGGTGGCATCAGTGATCATTTGAAGCCACAATGGTGAGCTGAACGCAGAAAGACAAAAGACGATTTGGGCATTGTATCTGTGCGTGGGCATGGCAGACTGTTTTAAGACTTGTGAGACAGATAGAGGCTAGTTAATGAAAGCAAATCAGGTGGAAGAGGCCATATGCCTCGTTTTCCTTTGTATATCCACAAAGAAGGCAATGTAAAGATACTCATCAAGTAAGACCTTGAACCGAATCTGTAATACAGCAGGTAGTGCTCTAAGACTTTTAAGTCTGCAACTCCTCTCATCTGGAGGGCTCTAAAATCAACCTAGCTAACTCAAAGCTTCTGCCCTGTAAGACGGAAACTAGGGGCTCTGTTAAAGCTCCTCAGGAAGCTTATGTGTGTTGATTCTTAAAGCATGTCACTTAGTTTCTTGGAAAACCATTTCAGAGAGGTCCCTTTTTAACAGTCAGCAATGCAAGGAGGAGATTCTTTAAAAGGTTGAGTCTCTGCAGAAGTGAGGTTATGCTACAAAATTAAAAAATGATGAATCTTCCTGGTTTTGCTGCCAGTTTCCAGGCCCTTGTGGAACTTGGGTGCCTCAGCTTTCATCTACATAGCAATCCAGTACACCACCAGAAACATACATACCTGTTCCAGAGAAGGCTGCTGCACCAGCAGTTGGACCATGAAATGAGACTAGTCTCTCAGACAGACTTCACCTAGGAGAGCAGCATCTTCCATTTGATGCTCATTCTTCATCTGTTTCATGCTCCAGAACATGCAGTAATCACTGTGTATAACTGAAACACCTTACAACTAAACTTTTTGAATATACCTCTAAAACATCTGCCTCGCTGTGTAACTGTTTGTGTGTTGACTTGATTCTTGGTATTTTTGACTGTACTGTTACCAGTTTCCACCACTTGAGGGCATCACGAAATTAAGCATATTCTGTCAAAACTGTCAGCAGTTTATGATAGCTGAATAATAATGCAAACACGGTAATATAAACTTTATAAAGAATATAAAAGTGTAACTTTATAACTTTTTAATACCTCAACATGTAAGATTTGTGGTGCTGTGCGTGTCTTGAGTACCTCCAATGCTAACTGCTTTACTCAGAATCAATTGCCTATGCTGATCAGCTGATACATAGAAAAATATGTCTTTTATTTGAAGCTGTTTGTATTGATGGAAGTTCCTCACTGAAAAGATTGAATTTTGAGATCTAGTATCTGACAGCACTCTTGTTGGCTATTCCCTTTAACTCTTACGTGCCTTGTTTTAACACATCAGTAATACACTTCTATACAATGTGTAGCTAACCAGAAAAATATAAATTGTTGCTCGCAGTGAGGAGAGTGTATCTGGGATTGACCATGCAGAGGAAATGGAGCTGCTGCTGGAGAACTATTACAGACAAGCAGAAGATCTTGCAAATGAAGCTCGTGAACTCAGACTGTTGATTGATGACTCAGAAAGCATAATCTTTATCAACCTAGACAGGTTAGCTACCCTATCTTCTGGACTGCCAACACCCGAGCAGAATTTAATGCTGCTTAGTCTTTCTCAAATCTGCCTACAAGGACAGTTGGGGAGTTCCATCTTCATGGGGGTTTGAATGCACTTGCAGTCGCAGCACAAGAAGCTGCATGTGCAGCTTTTCTTGCAAGTGAACTGGACAAAGCAAAGCAACAAGACACCCTAATTTGTATGTATAAAAAGCTCCCTAGCTAGGTAGGCATCAGTTATCCATAGCAGGAGAAACCAGGCTTCCCCTAGATCCTTCTGAGGAGCTAGATACTAAAGGAAACCCCTGCAAATTTAGGGGTAAAATAAAATTTTACTCAGGAAAGTTCAGTCTTAATTAAGAAAACCTGAATTATTTAAATCTGGCTGGGTAACACAAGTTATTACTCTGTGGGGTGGTGACAAGAATGAATAACTTTGGAGTGAGTATTTTCTCTCTATATGCTACAGTTTTCACTACTAGTCAGCTTTCTTACTGAAAAATAGCTTGAATTTCTAAGCACCTACCATTCTGTCTTTGAGGTCAGCATTTAATGCTCACTCTCCTCTTTACTGGGGAGCTACCTGTGTAAGCTATTGGTGGATGCCTCCCTGGGTTGTCTAATTGCAGCATGACTTCCTCTCTTTCACTGTTTGGCTTTAGTGCATATGGAATTGAGAATTTGGGCAGCAAATCAGTTCTTGGGTTCCTCTTACAGATGTTTCTCCCTTTAGCCACCGTAATGTGATGATGAGGCTGAATTTGCAGCTGACTATGGGGACTTTTTCTCTCTCTCTCTTTGGACTCATAGGAGTTGCATTTGGTATGAACTTGGAGTCCTCTCTTGAAGAGGTAAGGAACAAGTGTTGCTTTTATCAGTGACATAATACATGGGACCTAGTTTTATAGTGTATTTTATATTCAATGCAACTTCTTTCCATAGGTAAAGCTCCAGGTTTATATTAATGTGTAAATATAATTTACTCTGGTGATTCATGTGTTCATACCATCACTTTTTTTGTAGGTGAATTACTATGTGTGACTAACTGCGCAATTTAGCAGCCTTTTTTCTGTGTCATGTCTGTGGAAAAGAAACAGGAAGACAAATTTATGGTTGTATAAGGACTGACTGTAAAAGCAGTATTAAGTTGTCTTTAATGATCATCTGTTCTTCTGAAGGGGACCAGCTTTGTCTTCCATATACAAGGGTACCTGGCAAGTACTCAGGGCATTTCCAGCACACCACAGGAAATACTCTGCTGTCAGTTACGTGTTTACACCTGGAGGGGTTCAAATTTACAATTGCACATGCTATCTTTAAAAGAAACTAACTAAAGCAAAGACTCTTTCTTTCCAAATCCATTACATAGAAAGGTTAAATTTTCAAACTTCCTGATGAAGGAAGGAAAACTGCATGAGACAGTAACAGGATGATTCCTAAATAAAATGGTTTGCTATGAAACAGCCCTTTTCCCAAGGCAGGGCTTGGATGTTGATGGTAGAGTTTACCACTTCCTCCCATGAAGGAGGAGATCTCTGGTGGGGAGTGTGAGATTATCTCTGGATAATCCCTTTTGTGAAGAGAGGATTTTATGACTAATGGGAACGTTCTGTTGGTAGGACCCCAGGATATTTTGGCTGGTGACAGGGATTATGTTTCTGGGAAGTGGTCTGATATGGCGACGCTTGCTTTCCTTCCTTGGGCGGCACCTAGAACCTCCACTACCTCCTCAAGTATGTATGGCTGGCTGGGTTTCTGCTTCACACTCCGTACAGTCCGTTTCTAAAGCAGGAAATAAGCTGTTGTAGAGGGGTGCGCTGCAGAGTAGGGGGAATTCAGCTCAGTGTCTGCTCCTAGGTAAAGGAGGAGGTTCTCCCTAGCTGGGCTGAATGAGGTGGGAAGCCCCAGCGCTGGCAAAGATACACCTGAGCAGTTAAGAGATACTGCTCACTGTTGACAGAAGCAAAGCTACAAGCTGTTCCTTGAGATGCACTATTACTTTAACCTGGCAGTCCAAGGGAAACTGAGGCTAATGGTAGAAAACAGCCCTAATTTGCCTTTTCACACAACTCTTGATCTGTAGTCCCTGTCTTGTGAAAGAAAGCAAAGATAAAAAGGTGATAAGGACAGGTACTAGGTGTAGGAACTCTCCAGAGAATGATGCAATTGTGATGTCCTGACTCCCAATCCAAAGTGTGTAATAGCTCCTCACATGCACACCAGCTGTCTTTGCCATCGATGCTGATGACGTTTTTAGAACCCCATTGTACAAAGCTGTATGAAGATTTCCAAGGAGACCATCTTCAGATTAGCAAGATTTTACATGCATTATTTTCCCTGTTGACTACCATTTCCTCCCAGGGCTTTTGGGACTGTATTGTCCAACTCTGTTCTGCACTCTATTTGTAGCTACAGTACAATAGACTACTAGTGGTACTCTAGTACAACTAGAGTAGGGAAGTACCAGTGGATTCAAAAGTTAAATTGCTACAAGTGACAAAAGAAAGGGAGTGACAGATAACTGCCCTTCTTCCCTCCGCTCCCTTGCCACTAAAGCACATAGGAGTTTGTGTGGATTGCTGACTGTGGCTAAAACCAACAGGATTATGCTCAAGTGTTGCTCAAAACCAACTCCAGCGCATACTGACTTCGGCTTGGAGAAGTACACTGAACGGGATTAGGGAGGGGGGAGCTAGAGCCAGTGTTCTGAAAATTAAGAAAAATCAGTGTTTGGGCCTCTGTGAAGATGCATTTCTTTCTGCTGCATATAGAACAGCTTCTCATGTAATCACAGCCTGTTTTGTATCATCTTGCCTAGGTTCCTGCAGTTTTGAAAAAATCCCAGCCAGCAGCTGGAAGAGTGGACATAAAGAACAACCTTAAAACAGAAACGTTTGGGCTGAACAGAAGCACGTTAACAAACCAATAGAACAGCAGGAATGAAGAGACTTTTGTTCTTACAGGGTGGACTTTGGACACTTCCATTTGTTCTTCCTTACTGAAAACTGCAAGAATTTCTAAACTTGCTAATTTATTATTTTATGCCAAAAAACTATGGTGAGATTTTAATGCTTACACACAAAAGGAGAAAAACACCAGGGAAAAGGGAGATATGCTTTCACAGTAGTCTCACCTCACACCCCATGTATGTTCCATTAGTTTTTTGTATTGCATACATGTATTTATTTTGGGGGCATTTCTGTCAAATACTTCATGTAATGGCCTTTCTTAGTATTTTCAGCTTAAAGGATGGCAGCAGCCAGTGTTCATTAATAATTCTTGTTCTGAGCTGCAGATTTAGGAATCTGACTTCCAATGTCAAAGAAAGAAAAACACCCCAAAAATGGCCTTTTTAATGATATATTTTTTTTAAGGCCTTTTTTAATTGCAGAGAACAGATTTTCCAAAGCAGAAAGCATACCTGCACCTGTCCTGAAGCATCGCCTCTAGATTGACAGTAACCAAAAATAATGTTTCTGTTATTTCAAGAGAGCAATAACAGGCTTTGAAATGTAGCTACTTATCTTGGGTATTCCTTAACAATTAATTCAGGTCCAAAAGGTATGCAGTTTTAGTAACAGGAAAAGCAGCTTGTTGGTAAGACACCCTGGTGCTTGTTCTTTGGTACTAAGTCTGCATGCATTGACACAGCTGCAGTGTAACAGCTTCTCATGCTGGTAAAAAGCACCAGACCAGTTGTTCGTTTCTCCTAAGCTAGGCTCTGCTTTTTTTTTTCTCTCCAACAAGACAAGACAAAGCATGGACTAGCCTGCACCACAGTAGGAAGCCTTGTGTCCTGTGGTGAACTGAAGGAAGGAGTAAAAGTCTTACGCCCACTACTTGCATTTTTCTTAGCACTTACCTCTGAACTCTGAGGGTGTAGTTCTCTGCTGGTTTCTCTCAGTCTGTAGAGGGAGCATGAAATCATTCTAAATCAGGTCACAAACTGTGTATTTCTTTGAGTTTTTTAACCTCTCTGTAACATACAGTGAGCAGCTCCTTAGGTGCCACCAAATAAATTACTGTATTAGTAGGAACTGAAAAGATGGTAGCTGTGAACATTTTCACTCAGGACTAATGAGTCAAAAATGGAAATGAAAAGGTACATAAATTAAAATTATACTGGCCTGTGATCCTAGTTTGGTTAAAATCAGTTTTATGTAATTGTTTTTAAACAGTTGTTCTTGCTCTGTGTGTGACTTCAACTACAGATATAAAAAGGCATGAGAAGGTAAGAAAACTAATGAGGTTTGTAAAGTTTTTGAGGTTTCTAGCTCGGGTTTGGTTGTTTTTCTTTCAGCCTTTTTACTAAGCAGGTAGAGATGTAAGAAACCTCTAAACTGAACAGTCTGGTGGAAGAAACAATGGCTCACATACCTTGGTTGATAAACCCAGGAAAGCTGAGTGTGTGAAGGGATATGGATGCTGATGTTTTCAACCAAGCTGTAGTTGCATTAGGCCAGTACAGAAATGTGTTGGTGCAGCTGTTTGAGAATCTTTCATGTGAGCTTTCCAAGCTCTGGCTTCTGCGCAGGGAGACTTCTGTGAACTGTATTGATTCTTTTTCCTGTACCTGACTGACTTAAAGCACAATAAAAGCACTGAGAGAAAGACGCATCTTTTAGAAGACTGCCTTTCTCTCTGCAGGCATACACAAATGTGTAATGGTTTTCTGACAATTTGCGCAATCAAAATGCATTCACACACAATAAAGTTACCATGAGATCACACATAGAAAAACCCAAAACTGGTGAAAGCTGTATGTTCAGAATGGAATTTCTATAGAACATACTGGGTTTGCCAATTTTCATTTTAAAAGGAAAAGTATTTATTTTCCCCTTACAAATACACTGCTTGTGCAGAGATTTGTAGGTACTCTGCTCCCAGTTCCATCCAGTTACTACTTTCATGAAGTTCACATTTAATTTTTTTTTAAAGTGTCCTGCTATTTGGGCAAATAAGCCTCCAAATAGGTGTCGGAACACAATATACATCAAGCTGTTCATCTTGCCTTTTTTTTTTCTCCCCTTAAACAACCTCTCTGAGCTAATTCCTAATATGGTAAGTTGAGATGTGTAATCCTGGAGTATAGCCTTTAGAATTCTGTGCTATTCCACTGACTTGCATTATTTAAAATAAGAATACTGCTTTATATTTGTGAAGGAGGCAAGAGAGAAAATACATGTGTCAACAGACTAATGGTAATAATAACATCACATCTTGCTGCTCAAGTCGTTTAATAGATAATTGGTGAACACTGTTAAACCTACATCTTACAAAATTAGTGTTAATTAGTTGAAGACAATACTGTTACCACTAAAGCTATTAACAGTTCTAAGTTACACTGGTCATGGAATTCTACATAAAAGCACAAAGCGTGTCACAACAGTGTCAGCCATGAGTGTGAAAGTAAAAGCATTTCCTAAAACATGGTCAGTCTTGCTTGTACTTTTTGCCCTGGGAGATCCCAGCTGTTCCACACCCTGAATGCAGACCTCAAGATGTGCTACTGCTTGGCACCCACCTTTCTGTCTGTCTTAGAGCTGCCCCTCCTCCATGCTTAGTATTTTGACAGCAACTTTTTGACATCTTAGAATAGCTGTCTGTATACAGTACACAAGGAATTGAAAATGATATGCTATTCTTTCCTGGTTTTGTCAAGAAAACACTCAAATTTGACCAGTAAAGAATGTGACCACTGAATATTATTCGTTATACAGCTAAATATTACTATAAAAAAAATCTAGCTGCCTGCTCGTTTCAGACTTCAGAAAGTTTTTGGTTCAGCTTGCTTGTTCTAGGTTAAGTGATGCTACTGCTCACAACGGAATTAATTTGTGCTTTTACATAACTGATAAAGCTTTGGTTTGTAAGTCAAACCCCCACGAATACTCATGTTCCCCTTCACTTAAAACCAGTGTCCATCCCTCCCTCCCTCCCTCTCTTAAAACTACCTAGGACCCTATCTGGCTCTCTCAGATGTTTGGTTTATGTTTGTTAAGGAAAGTATTGCAGATACTACAGATACGCTTCACTAAAAGACCAGCCGTGCCCTGGTCTTAAAGGCTACCATGGACTTTCAGAGCGAGTAGATAAAAAGCCTTCCACCAAGGCGTGCTTTTGCTGAACTTCTCTCTGCTGCCACCACCACTTCTTTCTGAAGAGACATGGAACAAGGGTTAGGAAAATGCAACTGCAGGTACATGGTTGCCTTATGGAAACCAGATTTTTTCCATATCATTAGTATCATAGAATCATAGAATAGTTAGGGTTGGAAAGGACCTTAAGATCATCTAGTTCCAGCCCCCCTGCCATGGGCAGGGACACCTCACACTAAACCATGTCACCCAAGGCCTCGTTCACCCTGGTCTTGAACACTGCCAGGGATGGAGCATTCACAACTCCCTGGGCAACCTATGAGAAGAAATGCCAGCACAACCCACCTCATCAGAATAGTGGTTAATAAAATGATCTGGCAAACAGATTATTTCATTTGGGTAACTGAAAGAAGCCAGAACCAGTCAAATATATCTCTTGCCAATATAAACTGTTCCTCAGGATTAGGATCAATACAGATGAAGCTCAAGTGTGGACTGGATTGGTGCCATAGCAAAAGAACACAATTGCTTGGAAAATGGCCTCACTTGAGCTCAGACAAAAGCCATCAGTGATGCCTGTGTTTCACGTGTTGGATTATGCACCCTAACCTAGGTCAGAAGCATTCACATTTAGAGGTGGTTTCTCCACTGCATGTTTGAACAGCAAGAAGACAGACACCAGTTGTTGAAGGCCTATCACACACCTCCATAGCCTGGTCCTGAGGCTTTCTCAGTAATCACAGAGAGCCTCACTTCTCACACTGAGAGGTTATGTCAGAGAACACTGGACTCCACTCAGCTGAACAAGCACTAAGTAACCTTCAAGCTGAAAAAAAAAACGTTCCTCAGCACATCATGCAAACAGGGATTGATTTTTGGTAAAAATAATGGTCACCTGAGGGAGAGAAATGGGTACACAGAACATGTCCAGAATCATCTGGCTAAGAACTGGGCCTCTCTGTGCTTGGAAATACTTGACACAGAAACAGCGTTCACTGCACGTGATAACGAGAACAGCAAACCTGTATATGTTATGTGGGTCGGTGCCTGGTTTACTCCAGAGCTGAGCATCCACTTTGCATACAGGTTGGCATGAACAGTAAAGCCAATTGGCACCTACACTTGATTTACCATGCAAACTTTCAACAAACTCCTAAGTTATTAAGATTTCAGGCCATTTTAAAGTGATCTTTCAATTCATGTATCAGGTGCCAGAATTGTGGCAACTCCACAGTTCATCCACCTATAAAATGGTTTTAATTATGACTGCAGAGAGTCATTAAAACTTAATTAACTATGTAAAGCCTTTAAGACTTCTGCAAAGGGGTAAGATATATTTGTGAGGTGTTGGCTAGCATATGCAAGTGAGGTAGAAAGATGATAGAAAGCAACCAAAACCAGTAGTTTTTCTCACCTTTCTTTCAGATTTCACAGTGATAACAGAACTCCCAAATCTTGACAGTTCCTGTAAAATAACATTATTTGTTACAACGCTGTTGTTTGTTGCAATGGGACTTTTTTGTTTCTCTCAGTAGTGTATTTTCTGGTTACTTACCTCAGGAGAAATCAGGACATACTGTGCCTGAAAAAGAAAAAGAAAAGAGAAAAAGTCAGTGGAGAGAACCAGGCTAGGAGCATAGACCAGTGCCATAACCTTGGCTGCTAAACAACAAAGTAATTCAACAACAAATAGGAGGAGCTGAATCACACAGATTTGTAAGAACATAAATAAATGTTCTGTTTTCTGAAACCAAGTCAGAATGCACTAGATACTTGTACTGGATGTAATGAATCAGCTGTCATTATGAACTTATGCCCTGATTTCTCTTTTATGTCTTCTTACCCAGTCCTCTGGACAGGGAGATACCAGTGATTTGCAGTGCTGTGTCACATTCCCTGAGGATGCCTGCTTTCCATTGTAAATGTAAACACGGCCTGCTGCCCCACCAAACAGTATCATGCTGATAGCGTTAGTTCGCAGTGGGGATGTCACAATCATTTCATCTGCAGATATTACAAGGATGACATAACACATCAGAAGTGCAATAATGTTAAACCGAAACACACAAGTTGGCATGTACGTATATCTAGATACCACAACTCCTATTAATGATGACAGTCAAAATGTTTCAATTTCTGACTGAGTTGCTTGGGATTTTAAAGATGTCTCCCCAAAATGCACAACAGAATACTGGTACAAGTCAATTGAGGAAGCAGAGTGTTCAGCACTTGTATGAATACGTAGGTGACCAGTCTTACTACTGCCAAAAGTAAAACATTTCACTTCTGATCTAGATTCATCAAGCTTTACCAAGTCCATCATCATCCAGGTCACTTAAGTGTATATCTCCTCCAAAGTGAGAGAATCTCCTGTCCCCACTGAATGAGCTGAGCAAAGAAGGCTTGGTGCTGTCTGTCAGATCATATACCAGAGCCAGTCCAGCTTGGAGCAGCACTGAGGATATAAAGGAAATCCTAGACAGGCTATCTGGGAAAAAGAAGTAACAGAAGTTGCGCATCAGATAGAGGAAGTTAAGTTTAATACATGGATTACACTGTCAAAAGGTAATACTGGCATTACATAGCATGTAATATAATCTATATAACGTATATAATCTATGTTACATAATTACAGGTAATACTGGCATTACCTAACATATGGCACATGTGTGCCACATGGCATACATAACGTTTATAAGATCAAACATTATATGGTATTAACACTAATTAGCATAGAAACAACCTCTTAACAATAGTACCAGGGGAAAAAATGCATTCAAGTTAAAGACAGTTTTACGTGTTGACTTTCCTAATTCCTTCCTGCCCATTGCCAGAGAAAGTACAAAAATAGTGTGTTGTTTTAATTCCAAGAAATATGTAGTCTACTAGTAAATCACTTCTACATAAATAATGCAAGGTGGTAATGCTGCTAAACTAATTTAAAGAGCTAACTCTAAGGAAGGGAAAAAAACCAACACCGAAGTTGATGCATAGCAGAGAGGAATCTACATGTAAAGCACTCTTGATTACAGAATTTTTTTGTTGTTCTTTTTTTTTAAATTATGAAGCAATTTAAACTCTTATGGACTAAACTTTTATGGAGTTAACTTTTAACTTTTTAACTGTTTTCTGGTCATGCAGAAACAAACATCCCAAAGCAGAAATGGTTCCAATTTTCAGGACATACCTGCCATAGGTGCACCCACCACCAAAACTGTCCTTGTGATCCCAGCCACAGACATCACACCACTGGCCAGAGACAAACCCATTCTGCCCATTGCCTGTCAGATTTTTAACACACGTATGTCATTTCTTCAAAATAACACTTTACTTCAAATTATTCATAAAGTCCCACAGTACAGAAGGAGCCCTACCTTGTCTCCAGTTACTGCAAACCAGAGCTTTGTGCTTGGTGGGTTATACCCATACACCTTCCCAACACTCTGTCTGACATCCGATGAGAAGAGATTGCAGCTTGAATTACAATGCAAAATATATTTGTATATGGTAACATATTTT